CTGAGTGTGGCACTCAGTGCTCTGATCTGGGTGACAAGGAGGGCATCAGTCACAGGCTGGACTCGATGGTCTCAGAGGGCTTTTCCAACCTAATTAATTTTGTGATTTCTGATGGTACTGTGTGTGCCCCAGTGCGTGCTCGGGGTGTCCTTCAAAGAGATTGCCATGGGATGAGAGAGCCCGCTCTGCCACCTTATTTATTATTTGCAGGAGCGAGATGTGGAGCCTTTGCCATTTTTTTTCACCATTTTTTTCAGCAAATAATGTGTTTCTATGCCCTGCACAGCTCCGAGGAGCAGGAGGTGCGAGGCTCCTGGCTCTCCAAGGCACCTCTTGCCCTCCCCAGAACACGTTGGTTGATGGCAGCTGACATTTTTTGATGATCAGAAGTGTCAGGAAAGCAAATCTTGGAAAAGCTTGCTTCACCTCCTGCTTTACTTGGCTGTGGGAGTTGAGACCTCTGGAAGTCAGTTCCTCCTCGGTTTGTTCCTGCACCAAATTCCTGCCGTTTCAGATGCTCATTTTTACGCGTTCGTTGAATTTTGCGTGTTCCCGTATATTAAATTTCCTCAACCAAATGCCTCAATTTCAAGGCACTGTGGTATTTAAATAAGGGAACAGATGAGGCGTGTGCTACCTTGTTGCCTCCAAATACAGAGGCTGTGACTGATAAATATTGTAGTTCCTTTAGGTAGTGCTGACTGCAGCACTAATTAAACGTGGGGCTTATGCGATATATTGGTGTATTAAATTGGATTAGCAGATTTGCTGCATGGTAATGTGCTGCTCCTCTTTTGGGGGATGGGTAGGCACCAACATCAAGGTGCATCTTAAATCCTGGGGGTTTAAAGAGGGTGGAATAAATTACTGTTAAACCTGTTGTAGTGTTTGATATGAAAACTGTTTTCCTCAATTACCTGAACATATATGTGTGATGAGCCTAAAATAGACAATAGCACACAAGAACCAATGAATTGCACAAATCACACAGCATATGGTAAGGATTTCTAACTTATATATTGATTAACTAATTTTTTTTCAAGGAAGTGTTCAATTTACCCGTTTGTGTATCTACTTGATGAGCTTTCTAAAAGATGGGATTAGTAATATCATTAGTCTGAAAGCCCAAAACACTTGTGTGGATTGGGTGCTTTACTAAACAGGAATAAATACTCTGTCTGTGATTGGTACTTTTGTAAGTGAGGTTTCTGGTAAATCTCTTCAATGTATGTTACACCCTTTAGGCTCTGTCCTGCACCACTGTGATTAAAACAAACCATTCCTGTCACACTGATTTTGCATAGAATTATTAAAAGAATTGACATGTGACAGAACAGCCTTCAAAATCTTCTAATTTTAAAGGTTTTTTTTTTCTTAAGGCAACATAGTGCCTCCCATCATCACCAGTTTTTGGTGCATGAGACTCTATTTTGAAAGCACATTTATTTGATGTTCAGTTCTGACATACTTCAGAGCACAACAGAAAAATTCCTAATTTGATTACTTATTTTCCTACCTGTGCTTAACTTTGATGTTCCCAGGCATTGAAATAAATGGTCTGTGTTTGATAGCACAGCAAGTTCTCTTTATGTGCACCCCTGATTTAATCTCATGGAATCACAGAATGGTTTGGGTGGGAAGGGACCTTAAACCTCACCCAGTGCCACCCCTGCCATGGCAGGGACACCTCCCACTGTCCCAGGGTGCTCCCAGCCCTGTCCAGGGACACTTCCAGGGATGGGGAGCCCACAAAATTCATCTGTGTTCATATTTTGCTTCCTATAAGTGCTGAATGACTTTCTTCTGGGACAGTGAAGGTTTTCCAAATAATTTCAGACGCTGGATGGAAATACTTTGCACAGTGGATCCTTTAAATAAAGTTTTTTCAGTTCTTTCCATCACTTTTACATTGTGTCCCTGACTATAAATGGGCAGTCAGAGACCAGAAAAAATACTGCACAGTTTGAGATTGATCCTAACTGAAGATTATCAGTTGTTAAACTAATTACCATGTGATTGTATTAAATACACCGCACTTTTGAACAGGAGATAAGCTTCAGAGTAGGACAAGTGGCTGAATTAATTAACACTGGTTTTGTGCAGCATTTTTACACACACACACACACACACACACACACACACACACCAGTTTTTAGATTGTCCTCACAGTATCTGAATTGCTTATTTTCAGTATTACCTAAGTAATGAAAAGTTAATTTCTGCATCATGCTTGAAACCCTACAATTTCTGATCACTTTCTGTGATCCCTCACCCAGACAAACAGGGGTTCAATTCAAAGCAGCAAAGTTGTGTCATTGAGTAGAAGGTTTGGAGTGTTTGGAGTGACACTGAGAAGAGAACAGTGGCCTTTCCTGTATCAATGTATCTCAACTGTGCTGGGTTTATTCTAATAATGGAAAAAACTTCATTGCTTAATTTACTTTACAAGAAATAATGCTTAGTTTTGTAATTGCCTTGTATTAGGCACATTGATCAGTAGCATCATGGAATGATTTGGGTTGGAAGGGACTTTAAAGATCATCTCATTTCACCCCCTGCCATGGGCAGGGACAACTTCCACTATCCCAGGCTGCTCCAAGCCCTGTTTAACCTGGCTTTGGACACTTCCAGGGATGGGGTGTAAAATCCATGTAAGATTTTATAGCAGTTAAGTCCACACATAACTCAAATCTTACTTTATTTTTTGGCCCTATGCAATATGGATAGGCATTAAAAAAATCCATCTCTTGCCTGTGTGCATTATTGGAAAATCTGGAAGGAATGTTAAACCTGGCTTGCAGTTTTGTTGGAATTAACCAACAGGATTCACAAGTACTGAAAGCTGATAGAAAGTGGGTAAAGGACAGATATTTTTCCCTTTAAAACTACAGACTACAGCACTGGAGAGTGACTGATATTCTGGTAATATATTGCAAACTTTAGCAGGTGTGACTTTCTGCTGTGATTTCCACTTTAGTTCCCCTAAGAGTCAAGAAAAATGGAATAATTTGGGTGGAAAGACCCTTGAGGAAGTTGCATAGTCCAACCTCCTGCTCCAAGCAGTGTTGGCACTGAATTCCAACCAGGTTGCTCAGGGCTTTGTGCAGTCAGACCTTGCAAACCTCCAGGGATGGTGATGGCATGACTTCTCTGGGCAACTGGTTCCAGTATTTGACTGTTCTCATGATGAAAATCTCTGTAAGTCAGCTTCAGATTTCTCATTGACTCATATTGAAGCCAGAGTGGAAATTACAACAGAATTGGGGCAGCAATTAGGTTTGTATATATTGTTTAAAATGTGGCAAAGAAAAACTACAAGTTAGTGGTAGGACTGGCTTAAAAAATGTTTTAAACAAGTAATTGTGTGTGAGCTGTGCTTTGTATCAAGACTTCTACAGTAGAACTTAATTTGTTTCACTTGTGTGTGGTCAGAAAACCGCTCTGAGTGTCAGTTACTGCTTAATATCAAATCATTTTCTGTCCTCAGTTCAATGTCTGCCAGCACCAAACATTACTTGCAGAGATCACCTTGGCATAGAGAAAGTCTTTACGGGACAGGAAGTTGGATTTTACAAGCCCATTGAGTGTCGCAATGTGTGAGTACTCTTTGGATCTGAAAAACTCAAGTTTGTCCAAAATTGTATGCTCTGTTGGCAGAAGGAAAATAGAAGTAAGACAGAACCATGCACATTTTGCCCAGTAGTTAATCCTCTAATAAACACTACAAGGATGCAACACGGGGTCATGGCAAGGGTTGGGTTGGGAGGGATCTTAAAGCCCATCTGATTCTGCCCCCCTGCCATGGCCAGGGACACCTCCAGGTTGCTCTAAATGTGCATGCTCATATGGAAATCTGTCAGTCTGTCCTTTTTTTGTTATTTAGTTATGTTTGTGTCTTTGCTTTACCTTATTCTTTTACCTTTGCTTTATTACTTTGTACTTCAGCTTGGCAAAATTTTGCTCCAAATGCTGAGGCCACATTTCACGTGTTTAAAATCAGCCCAGTTCTGGAAGGAGCTGCTGGGGACCCCCTCCATCCCCTTCCCTGACAGACCCCAGGACATCAGGGAGCTGCCCTGGCTTGGAGCTGCCTTGGATCAGTTCCCCAGTTTGAGTCACAGAGCAGTGGCTTCAAGTGCTGCTGCCAGCGCAGGGATGAGGGTGACTCAAGGATAAAGCAGAGAGGACAAAGGAGGGCTGGACAGGGCTGTGCTGCTCAGTGCTGCATGCCAGTTTAAAGTGTGCCTGTGGCTGCAGCTGAAGTTCTGTGATGCATGAATTTTAGGGGAGCTTCAGGATCTCTGCAGCTCCTCTCAAAATCTATAACAGAAACTGTTTCTGTTTTGAAACAACTTTTGTGTTTAATCCGATCTACAGTGCCTGTTTCTGGTACATGAATGATGGACCTCCTTTTTGTAAAGCACATTGTGAGTGATGGAGAGCTCTGGCTACCAAGAAATGTTCCAACTGGCCAGTGCTAATGATCAGCCAGCACCTGTCACTGCCATTTGTCTCCTCTTTTTCTGGGATTCACTCTGGAACCTTTCTCTTTTGTCCTACTGGAATCTTTGGGAATTAGTACAGGATACCTCCCTATCACTCTAGTGGGCAGGTAACTCTGATGTGCTGCTTGCTGCTCAGTAATTTGCCTAACTCAGAAGTACAGCTCTGCCTCTTAGTTTCATAAATATTTTCTCTGTATTTAGTCTTCTCAGCAGTCAAAGCTCAGCAAACTGAAGAAAACATATTATTACATCTAATCAGATTTAAATGCCAGCAAAGTAGACGTCAGTCACATTTTTGTCCAGAAACAATTGTGTTTCAGTCCCATCTGTGATGGGGGCTGAGGAGAAGATGAGCTATACTAGTTTAGTGAAATTGCTTCCTCTTTAGATTAGATGGCAATTTCTATGTTTGGAGGTTTTTTGTATACATATATTTTTGGTTTAGCATATTTTCTAGTAACACTTTTTAAAGGTGCACTTATTTATTAAAATCCAGGTCTGTAGGCAGAGAAATGTCCTCCTTCCTACAATATCTGTTACTTGATCATGACTGTTATTTATAATGAATAATCAATGGTTGCACTGCTGAAACAACTGTTTTCCAGTCCCTCAACAGTTGGTATGGCAGAAAGAGACGAGAACCCTTTTTGGACTGAAAATTCCAGTAAAATGCAACTCTGAACGTAGATAGAGTTACACAAGGATGTCCTTCATAATGTCCTAAAACCAGTAAAAAATGGCAGCAAGATTAATATCACCATCCTTCATCTGTACACTTATTTAAAAAGTGGGCCAGTCACTGACAGACTTTTTATGAGGCACTTTAAATGTTACCTAAGTGTTAGAAATATTATTTTAAGCAGAATCTCCAGCTTACTATTACAACAGTAGCCCTGCCTTTTCTGCTGGTTTTTGGAGGTTTTTCAGCATCTTACTGAGTTTTGGTAGCAACTGTAACTGTAGAAATAACTGCACATCATTTAGCCAGAAAATGAGTTTGAGAAGGCATCTTCCCATGGCAGGATTGTCCCAGCATGGGGACAGCAGGTGAATCTCTACCCCCAGCTTTTGTGAAGGACAAATCAGCAAGTTGTCCTTAGCTAAAAGTGTAACTTAGTTTTGGCTAAGTTCTGGGGTCCAGTTATTTTAGAGCAAGACCAAGAGATGTTCCATGGTTGTGTGCATGGATATGTTCAAGTTCAGGTATCCCAGTAATAATTCAAGGAAAAGCTTGTAAGGTTGTTCCAATAAAGAAGTACTGGGAGTCAAGATTGCTTAGGTTTGGCTTTAATCTGATGTTTTGGAGGTAGATCTTATTTTTTGGGCAAATTCTAGAATCCCCCAGATTGGCATTATCATATATTTAATATGTGCAGGCCCTGATGCTGCAGAGTTAAAACGTCCATTGTTGAAGTGTTGCCATTCCAGGGAGGGAGGCCATGGAATGATGAAATTCTCTGTGAAATTCATGGAGTTCAGTGTGGACAGGTCTTTGAGCAGAGCCAAGAGACCCTGGAAGAGCAACCTACAGCAGCACCTGCTCTTGTCAACTGCTGTAGAAGAGCTGGGAGGAAAAGTTTTTAACTTGGCAAATGGAAGAAATGCATGCAGAAAAGATAAAGGCTGGATGAGGCTGAGAAGCAAGAGAAAATAAAAAGAGAAACTGACAAGAAATTGCATCTTTTTACCCAATTGTAGAAATTCCTTCAGATGCTCAGGATGTGTCATTTTCCTCCTCACTGGTTTACTCTTTGTGCATGTTTTGTCTGAAGGAGTAAGGCAAAGGAAAGAGAGTGGATGCAGCCTTGTTTGTTACAGTGCTCTCTCTCGTGCTTCCCCTTCATACTGGATTTCTTCTGCCCGTCAGTTTGATGTTGATGAGGCTGCAGAAACTCCTGTGCTTTCAGAAGCATCTCAGTGCACAGGCAAGGGCTCCGTTTATTGCTAGCTGTGATCAGGAGCAAAATTAAAACATGTTCCCATTCTTTATGTAACAGCTCTTTTTATGCTTTAGTGTCCTTGGAGAGCTGTTGACACTTTGTAGTTGATAAACAATTTCCAACAGTTTACCTCGAGTTTTAAATAAACCCATTAGTGTTCTTTACAGTGGAAACAAGACAGTTCTAAAGATGATAATTTACGTTACATTGGGTTCCAGGAATGCCCTGTGTGTTCCGTGTTGCTAATAAACACCAAGTAACAAATCCTGAGGTAGAAGTCATGTTTTAATCACTTAATGTTGCCATTAGGTTTTAAAGTCAGCAAATTTAGATAATAAGCAAAAAAGGTAGGTCTCTGCTTGGCATTGAAAATGCTTAATAAAAGTGCTTGGACTTTTGTCAGCTACTGTCTTTTTGAGACTGTTTTATTCAACTGTCAACCAAGAGTTTAATTTGGGCCTATTAAATAATTGCTGGCACGTAGTGGTGCACGTATCAAAACAGTGAATTACTGAATATTTTTCAGTTCTAATTACATTTGGGTTTGCTGTTCAGGAGCTCGCTGTTGGCCGAGGCAGCAGTTCCAGCATTGAGAGCAATATGTTTTTAGCTCCCTTATTAGTGCAAGGTTCTCCAGCAGGGACTGCACTTACAGGTGGTTTGGTGGCTGCATCGCTCCAGCTGTTGGCAAGAATGGTTCCAATTAGGACAAGTCTGAAAAAGTCTGCTCTATCTGTTTATTTTGTATGACTAACCATGGGAAGCTTAACTTGAGAGCGCCTCTCTACCCCCGTGCATCCCTGTGCTGTCAACAGTTCCTTTCATTGTGACTTTGTGCCATTTACAGTGTAATGAGTGAATCCAAGACTTACTCTTTTTTGTTGAATCCTTCCTGCAGCTTCTTCAGCCGGTGGCCATGGTTCATTTCTCCTTCAGATCTCGTGGCAATTACTGTCTCTGCTGACATCTCACCTGCCTGTCCTGTTCCTCTCCATTTGGCTGTGTGTGAGACTAATGCCTGCAGACAGCATTCACACCCCTCCTGCCTTCCTGGCCTTGTCTCAGTAGGGCTGCACTGCTAGGAGCTGCTCTGTGGAGCTGGGGATGGATCAGCAACTGAATTATGTCTTGACAAGAAATCATCATTTAGTTTCAGAATAATCTGTATTCTGTAAGAGTACAGTTGAGTTGCAGCAGCTGAGGTTCCTTTATGGAGGATGCCTTCCCAGTTTGAAAGCTTAACATTATCAATTCCCTGGCCGTTAATTGAAGATAAATAACAAGTCTGTTGTTTTTATTTAAAACCAGAGCAGCAGGAAAATGAGTCACTACTTTAACAGTCAAAAGTATGAGTGGATATATTTTGCAGTCATTATCTACATTGCTTGTTTCTTTTGGCAGAAATGGATACTCCTACAAAGTGGCAGTGGCTCTGTCCTTATTTCTTGGATGGTTGGGAGCAGATAGATTTTATCTAGGATATCCTGCATTAGGTAAGTTTATTCCTTAATTTTTTATTTGAGGAAAATCTTATTCTTATATTCTTACACTTATATGTGTATACTCTTATTTTGAGTAATGAAGGCTGACAGTCACAGTTTTAATATTTAAAACTAGAATCCTTATTCATGGTCAAGTGAGACAAAGTGCTGCATTATCCTCAGCCTGCTCTTCTGCTGGAGTGCTGACAAATGGAGATGCAGTGTCCAGCAGATAAAATCCTAATAAGCAAATGTGGTTGTTGCTACTCAAAGTTTTGCTTTGCACTGATGTTTTATCACAGCAGTTTTTGTGAGGCACTGGAGCAGAAGTGGCTTTGCCTCACGTGCCAGCCTTAAATGAGACTTGACTTCACCAGGAAAAGAGTGGACAGATTTTACAGTAAACCTGGTGTTTTACTGTTCTGGCAAATGCACACCTTCAGGATAACTCAGTATTAATAACAATTCTGCAGAAGCTGGGACTCCTAATAAAACCTCTCTCTAGTTTTTAGGACCTCATTCCCAGGATGGTGGTGCCACTGGCTTTTAAGTAATGGAAATACCTTCTTATGACAGGACTGCCCTCACAGCCTTGTTTCTGAGCTGGACAAAGGGAGTGAATTTAAGTATAGATAGGATGGAGCAGTGATGTGGAAAAAGCTGTATGTGTTGCTGTCACTTCAGCCAGAAATTTTGAGTTTCTGCCCATTAAATGCTAACTCTTTTAAATGACATTATCTGTCCTTTTCTATAATCTTGATTAACATCCATGTCTTTTATCCCTGGGATTCTATAATTAGCATTTACTTTGTCCATCTGTGTCACAAAAAGATACATTTTTGAAAGCAGTCAGTCAGGTGCATTATTTGTTTGTACCACTGGATTTGGAATAATAATTTGCCGTAATTATTTTTAATATATTGTGGTAATATAGATTCATAAATCCTTAATTCTTTTGTAGAACTTCTTTATGGCTAATGCTTTAACCCTACTGGATTATACTGTAGCCAGTAGCCAGAGTTAATATTTAAAATTAAACTCTTCCAAAGCCAGATTTTCAATCTTTTGAAAAGCAAATAGGTAAGAGTAGAAAAGAATAAAAATCATCCCATTGGATTCCTTTACAGTGGCTGATTAGAGATTTCTTAGGTCATCTGTGCCTTGGCAAAAAATGGTTAAGAAAGGTTAATGGCACTGAAATCTTTTTTGCAAGTGTAACGAAGACTGTAAATGCTCTTTGGTTTATTTTTTTCCCTTCTCTTTTGTTTAAAGAGCACACAAATACAAACAAGCTATTGAGTATAAAGAAATCAGGAAGGCAACCTCTTCCTCTCCCACACACTGTGAACCAAACCAGGAGTTATTACTGTAGAGCAACACTATTTTTTTCCCTCTGTACTTTAGAGCAGTTTATTTTCTCAATGTGATCTGCTTGTAGGGAGGGAAGTGAGGAGGAAGAGAAAAAGCCAACTTTACCCTGCACTCCAGAAATAAATGCCAGGTTCAGAAACAGTTCCTCCATCCATTGCTTAAGTAAAGGTTCCAGGGCCAGGGACACCTTCCCTGGGTTGGCCTGTGCAGAGCTCCCTCCAAGCTGGACAATTGCAGGGATTCAGCCACAGCTTCCCTGTGCAGCCCCATACACAGCCCTGGGAGAGCAGGTGCTTCAGGGACACGTTGGAGCTTTGGAGAGAGGGATTAACCAAGATCTTCCTCTGAAATAATATTCAAAAATATATAGTTCTCTCTGGGTCACATATACATCTATACATATATATATTCTCATATATATATTTCTCTCTGGATTACATTCATTGCACAAGAAACTATCAATATTAAAAAAACCATAAATTTAAGCCAGCCTCTTTTTTCTGAAGGCATTTTCCAAATGAAGTCTGCCTTGCAGGACAATTTCCAATAAAACATTCATCTGTCAGTTGCTATTCCCACATATTTTCTATTAATCTTTCATTTATTTGTATAAAACTGAACGTTTTTGAATACAAGTTAAAAAGAAGTGTTGATATATTTTTAATATATACTCAAAAGAAATTCATATTTCAGCAAAAATGTAAAAATTATACAAAGGATTGTTTTCCAAAGTTGCATGTTCTGAAAATCAAATCAGTATGTGCTGCAGCTCATGAAGTGGTAGAAAGTCTCTTTCTATTCAGAAGTAAATTTTTCAGCTCAAATTGGGATTTTTCTGTCTGTGCCTCAGTGAAAGGAATATTTCAGTAACCTGATTATCAACTTTTGCCTTTCCTTGTTTAAGAATATTTAGATGTTAAAAAAAAAGTTAATATTCAAAATCTTTAAAGTGGGTTCAGGATGTTGAAATATGAGTATGTGGTTTGGTTTTTCCCCCTAATAATTAAATAAGTTTAACTTTAGGTCTGCTTCTCGATAGATGCAGATACATATATATATATATATATATATATATATACACACATTTTGTGGGATGAGGGGAGAGTTTGGATTTGATTGCCACCAGTGATGAAATCCCAGGGATTGCTTAAAGCTACATTAAATTTTACTTTTCTTTTTTAGGTTTGTTAAAGTTCTGCACTGTAGGGTTTTGTGGAATTGGGAGCCTAATTGATTTCATACTTATTTCAATGCAGGTAAGTCAGGCCTTTCAAAACAAGATAGAAATCTGTGTTTTTTAAAGCTTTGATTTGATTGCTAACACTTTGTTAGCATTTTGGCCTTAAGAACCACTGGTTATTGAAAAATCAAGGCATTTATTTTGGCTCTGCTTGGAGATTGGTGTTGTAGAATATAGACACAAAATATCAATGTATTTGCTGTTGGAATTAAAACTTAGATTAGCGATCTATAAATAGTGACAGTGAATAGCTTGGAAGCCACAGCACCATAAATTCAGGTGGTCAGAACTTTTGTGTGAGGCAGAGTTGGACTCAGCATGGGATGTCCTGCTGCTCCCAGAGCCCCCAGGTTCTGTGTTTGCCTGTGCTTGTGCTGATGAAAGGTGACATTGCCACTTCCATTTCCCACCTCTCCTGCAAACCCAAGGCCCTCACCAGCAGAGAGCTGTGACTGAGGGATTCACGAGGGTTAAATCCCCAGCTGGGGTGACATCTTGTGACATCATGAAATTGCCAAATTGTTTTATTCAGCAGCGCAGCCATTTAGCACGAATTGCAAATCGGCTGCGATGAGCTCAAAATCCATGGTGGGCATGGGAGTTGTTTCTGTGGGTTTGTAGGAAAATATTTTAAAAGTGTGCACTTTGGATCTGTCTTTTGTGTGCATTCTCAAACTCCTTTCTCTGCTCTGCAGTGATCCTGCCTCAGAGCACTTAACAGATCCAGTTGAGAGTATCTTTCATCTCTCCTTGTTGATCTCCCTGGTGACTCCACATCAATTTAGCACTTCCAGAACAAAAACTCCATGATCTTTCCTCCTCCTCTTCATTCCTTACCTGTTCAGTATTTCAAAGACACTTGTCATCAGCCTAATTCTCTGCTGCCGACCCTCCTTTGTTCAGGAAAAGTGGTTTGGAGCCCACTCATTTGTTAGGCTGGTTTTGTGCCTCAAATCCTGCTTGGATTAGCCGAGTCCCAGTGCCTGCCTGTGTAATTTGGTTGATTAGAAGCCCAGGGGAAATGTTCCTTCTGAGACAGCGCTGGCTAAAACAGTTAAACTGCAGCATAACTTCAAAATAAATCTAGTTTCTGTTTGACTAATTAAGCATGACTAATTTTATGATGGGAAAATTAGCAGTAATTGAGACATTAGCACAAAGTATATATTTCACTTCATATTGGAAAGTCTTGGTTCTTTTTCTGCGTTGCAGATCGTTGGCCCTTCCGACGGCTCCAGCTACATCATCGATTATTACGGGGCCAGGCTGACCCGGCTCAGCATCACCAATGCAACCTTCAGGAAAATGCAGACCTACCCCTGACATCCCTGACTCTGGCAGGGAGTGCCACAAACCCACAGGTGCAGCTGGATTTTACAGCTGGATCCACTGGAATTGCTGAGGATTTGCTGGTCACCCCTCGTCAGAACGGAATATTAATAGAAATGCACGGTGAACAAAGATGATAAAATGTGAAAGTTCCTCACGTTTACCTCAAAGGTGGAACTTTGGGGCTGCTCTGTTTCTGGGAGCAGAGTTGCTGAGTTACATCATCTGTGAAACGTGCAGACTGTTGCAATTTGCACTGATCTTGTGTCTGTTTCCTTTAAAGTGTTACAGAGAGCTGCAGAGAGAGTTGTTCAAATAAATATGCAGATATTTATTCCATTGAAATTTATAAGAGTTTTAGCATGGATACACATGGGGGTCTGTCCATATGGCAGTTTGGAAATTAACTTAAATATCCCCAACCACACAAACTGCCTTTTTTTTCCCCCTCCTGTTAAGACCCAAATCTTAGGCTGGTGTAGCCTGTGAAATTGTGTTAATTAAAACAATTATTTCTTTAAATTTTAGTCAAGTTGCAAAATTTGGTCAAGTTCTGATCAATAGTAGAAATATGGATGTGTAAAAAATAGAACTGTAGGTGACATATCACAAAAAAAGAAGAGTGGATGTTGGGGTGCCCTGAGGTTAGAAAAACAAATAATTGTAATGCTTATTTTGATTTTTTTTCTTTCCTCTCTTGCAACCATCCATAGTGAAATAAATACTTTTTTTCTCCTGAAAATAAATTGGTGTGTATGTGTTTTACAGCTACTGAGTGTCCAAAGAGTGAATTCCTCATACTACTAAAGCCCTTAAAAGGGTCAGTTGTGTTTCAGTGCAATAAATTCAGTATCTTTCAAAGCAGTTTGACCAAAGTCTTGTGGACAACCAGGATTTCACTGGATGTTTCTTTCAGGAGAAGTATGTACACACAGACAGAAAACATGTCAACAAAATCTTCATGTTATTTGACCAATTTTAAGGATTCTCTTCACCTTCTAATGAAAACTGGCACTAACTGAGGGAGAAAGCCATGCCATAGAAACTTCAGTGTAATTTTTTTTTTTTTTTACAAAAGTTTGGGCCTTTTTTTTTGTTTTTCAGGTGAAACTTTCAACCTGTCATTAATATATCCACTAACCATATTTTTAGGGGAATTCCCAAGATTGAGATTCCTAAGTGGATTTATGAAAGCACAATTTGTGGGGTTTAGGCTCTTTTTAACCCCCATTAAGCCCAATGCCCAGAGAGCTTTGTAAAGAAATCCTGTTTTTAACCCAAATCAGCATAACCTGACATGTCACGTAATGAGAATAAACCACAAGGAATACTTTGTGCTTAACGTTAATTCTTCCCTTCACGCAAGAAAGATGTGGTTTTGGAATCCTTCCTGCCATGCATTTTCCTTGTGGGTTCAAAGAGACAGGAACACTCTGTCAGCTCCATTCCCTTGCCTGATATTTGTTCTGTCTCCCTTTGCTCCCTCTCTCTCTGAATGCTCTTTGTGCTCATCAGTTTTGTTCCCTGAAATACTTTGAAAAACAAGACAGGAAGCGGATGGAAGATGGATGTTTGAATCGAGTAAAATCTCCTGCCTAAGATCATCCTGTGACTTGTCTGCTTTTTGTTTTTCCAACCCTGAAGCTAATAATGAAGCTGTGAAAATAAGAAGATGTCATGGATGTTATAATAAAAAAATAGCCTTGGGCGACTTATCACACAAGATTCCATTCTAAAATGGGTCTCCAGGTGTGCAAGTAGCAGAGGGTTTGACTTGGTGATTTCAGAAATCCAGGCTGTGCTTCGTTACCTGTAAAAAAATTCCAGGAGCTGCTTTGTGTGAATTAGGTGAAAATAGGATTTTAGTTCCGAGGCCCATGAGATGCTAATCCCAGAGGCCAAGCAGCCAGCAGAGAGAAAGAGCTGCTGGTCCAACCTGCAGTGGTTGTGTGGGAAGAGAAGTGTCAGGAAATCAGAGCTGCTCTGGGATCCTTCCATAATGGACACAGCCATGGGTGACATCTCTTCCCTCCAGAAGGGATTCCCCTTGATCCTCTGCCTTGTCCTGACAGCTTCCCACCCCAGCCCCAATCCCCTCCCATGTTTTAGGAGAGAGTGCCACAGCTTGCTTATTAACCTTTGGGAATTCCATGGGCTGCTGCTGGGGTTGTGCTCTCTATATGAACGCGCAATAAATGTTAATATATGTAGAATATGTTTCTATCTGCTCCTTTATCTGCTCAGCTGAAGTGGGGAGAGGGTTAACTGAGCAAGCAGATAAAGCTGCAGGGCCAGGAGACAGTTAGTGAGGTCTTTGTTTTCATCTTGTAATTGTCAGATATGGCATGTTTACCATAAGGGCTGTGAAAAGTGTGATGCAAGATGTAAAGCTGTCCCACTGTGTTAATAATAAATTGGCTGCGGTAATATTTATCAAAATGTCTGTCCAATGATGATTTTTTGTGTTGCTGCCTGCTTTAGCCTTCTCCTGTCAATCAAGTTGTCCATCCCAGTCTTTCTGTAGTTCTGATTGCACTGCAATAATCTTCTCTCAGGATTGTTTTCCCCAAAACAGTTGCAAAGCAATGAAAACAATTAGACAATGTAGTATGTCCTCCTCCTGCCTCGTTCCCAGATAAAATGATATCTGCTGGCCTTGCAGATAGGCAGGAATTCTTTCAACATTCCAACTAGGCAGAGAAGTATTATTCTGTATCTGTAGAAATAAAGAACATAAAAAGTAAAGGCCAGAGTTTAAAACAAGAGTTTGAGGTGCCCAGCCTTTTAAAACTCAGATAAAACTGTTCACTGGAGATGCTGCAGATCCAGGCCAGGCATTAAACACAGATCTTCCCAAACTACCAGTGCAATTCAAAAATTATTCAAAACTTCATTTCAAAAATGACTCTACATGCTGTCCTATTTCCCCCTTCATTTTAATGGCCAATTTGAGATTTTCTGCAGTGTGCTTAACCATGACCTGAAGGAGCCGTAGTTGGGAGATGCGTCCACCTTTGGGCGCTCCACATTTGCTCCACAGTGCCAAAGTGGTGGCACCTCAGTGTGCTGACTGCACTACTGAATGACTCTGGGTTCCTTTCCTTCAGCTGGGTTAGCCTGTGCATCTCTCACTTGTGCCTAGAGCTCCTTTTCACGGAGTTTTTTTACATCAAACTGGTTATTCCTCCTGGGATTGAAACCACAACTCCGCCACAGCAACTTCCTGTGACAGCATTTTGTTATCCTCACCCTTTCCCTCTCCACCACCACCCACCACTGATTACATGAAGATATCACTGCTGCTTTCAGGACCTGATAACACCTTAAATGTTAGCTTTTCCTCTGTTTCCAAAGATGTATTCCTGTATGTCTGCCAGTAAAACTTCTCAGCTCCACAGGAAGGTCTTTGTGTTTGAAATGCTCCCTAAGAATTTTTTTTTGGAGAACATCTGTTGTCACCCCATCAAGGATTGTTTCCTTTGTTCCTCAGGAGTATATTCAGTTATATTTGCTTGCACAGCTCTGTCTATTCAGTCTTCTCCCATCTCCTCTCAGTGTTTTTGAGGTTTTTTTATTTATTTTTAGATTCATTAGGTGTTTAGGCCATCTCTGCATTGCTGCTTGCTCTGCACTTTTCAAACTTGCTTCCTCCTCCTGAAAGTGATGTTAAATACAATAAAGTTGGGTGCTCAAGCACCCAGCTGGGGAAATTCCAGAGGCAAGAGTGTGCATTTCCATTCTCTCACAGGACTGTTGCTAATTGTGTGATTGCTGTTTATTTCAGTAACACATCACACAGACTTTCAAACTCAGTGTCTTCCCTAACTACCCTGCCGTTTTCATTATTATAAGTGGTCACTGTGTGGCTTCTTTAAAAAATGCACCATTTAAATTCATTTAAATCATGCTGTTTAACCAGCTACCTCGTTCTGGGTTCAGCATCAGAGTCTGCCAAAAAGTGAAATATAAGAGATTGTTCCGTTTGCATCTTGTGCCTGAATCCGAGGAGAAAAAATTGCTTAACTTTAGGCATATGCTTAAGTGTTTTGCTAGACTGAAATATGATCAAGACTCTTCCCACTTTCTTCCTCTCAATCCATCTGTGATACCCAGAGAACCTCCCTAATCTCTGGGAATTAGAAGAGAAAATCACATTCTGCAGGGGAGCAGAATGGCTGATGAATGTGAACGGCTGACGGTGTTGGATGCACTCCTGTGGCATCCCATGGACCCCAACTTTTTGTCACCTTAAAAGTGCTTTTTAGTGCTTTTTGTCCAAGTATCAGCTCCCTTTGGACGTCCTGCCCCAATCCTTCCAGCTCTTCCAGGAGGAGGTGGCTCCTCAGAGCTGCTTCCCTCATGCGGGAATGTCACAGCCCCAGATCGGGGATGCTGTGACAAATGGGAGCAGGGGCCTTTGGGGGACAGGAGTGATGTCAGGCTCCAGATTCTGCCTGAAACTCAGCCCCGCGCTGTCTCTCTGCCTCCTGTTTCCTGAAGGTGGAGCCAAACCCCCTATCAGATCCCAAATCTTCCCGAGCTGTTCCCTATCGCAGCCAGACCCAGCACTCCGGGGTTTTTCCTTGCACAGCACAGCGAGCTGGAAAGGGGCTGCGAGGATTCTGCCTGGCCAAAATGCGTTTTGCACCGCGGAGCTAAGACTGCAGCAAAGGCAAAGAAATCCAAGGATAAAAAGGACACCCTCAATGCTGTTTGCACCGTGTCTGATGGAGATCCGCTTCCCAACATCCCCAACAAAATAAAGTATTTTTTTAAAAACGCTGCTTGTCTCGAATACCAGCTCCTTGCTTTTCCCAGGGTTTCTGATTGTAACTCTTTGTGCTTCATAAAAATCCCGGCCATCCACGTGCTCCAATAACTCTCCATGATCCATTTGAATGGCTGCTTTCAGGACTGCAGTGCTCCCCGAGCTGCACAGCACATTCCTCGGGCTCTGCAGATGCATATGACACAGCAGAATTTTAGGCAGTATAAGAATTATAAAGCTCAGTTTCCATTACTGTAATTGCTATATAAATCCTACCTTAGAACAGGCCTATTTAACCTTGGTTTGAGCTGAGACTTGGTCCAAGTCTGATTAAGCTGAGCACCAAATTCTTTTTATTTTATTTTATTTTATTTTAATTTTTTTTTTTTCTCTGCAGTGTAATAACTTAGCGGGCAGCGGGGCGGGGAGGGAGATGAGATCCAGCACATCCTCTGCTCCCTGTCCTGCCAGGGGGTGGCTGCAGTCAGGAAATACCTGTCCCCAGGCAAGAGCAGGACGAAGGGAGCTGTGCATCCTGCGCCCTGGGAGGAGCACCGTTTCTCCCCTTGGAACCTGTGGCTGCTGCTGTGCACAGCTGTGCTCAGAGCAGGTGTGTGAGAGCCTCCAGAGCCTGCCCTCTCTGCGGGATGGAGCAGGAGCTCACAGCCTCTGTGCCATTTGCCACCACCTCGATGAATGTTGGGTGCCCTGGAGGATCCCCCTCGGGGCATTGAGGTATCTGGGGGGGTCAAAGCATCCAAAACTTGTTACAGGACAAGGAGCAGTGGGGTCAAAGAGGGGAAATTTAGGTTAGAAATACACAATAAATTGTTCCCTGTGAGGGTGTGAGGCCCTGGCACAGGGTGCCCAGAGAAGATGTGGCTGCCCCTGGATCCCTGGAAGTGTCCAAAACCAGGCTGGAGCACCCTGGGATTGTGGAAGGTGTCCCTGCCCACGCCAGGGATGGCACTGGATGAACTTTAAGACCCTTCCAACCCAAAACAGTCTGGGATTCTGATTCTGAAACTGAGGAAGAAGTTGCCAGTTCCATAAGCAGAGGTTGGTGATGTCCTGCTTCACTGCTGGAGAATTCCAGACTCCCTTTTAGGCCAGGGAGCAGCTTTGACATGGACAGCCACCACTTGCTCCAAAGAAACTCTGGCACAGCATTTCCCATGCCATGAACCTGCTCTGCAGTGGCTGCTTTGCCCCCCATGTCAGTAAAGCCACAGGAATGAATTTATTAATGTATCCTGCTTCCTTTACAGGGTCTTCTTCGAAGTTCCTTGACTTAACCATGGGGAAAATATGGCAGAAGATATAAGAGAATGGTGAGAACTGAAAAACTGAGTGTTCACCTTGAGCTGGACAAGGCTGCCCACCATGAGGATTGTGCTGGCACAGGCAGGGGCCTGGGGAATGCAGAGGTGGGGGGTAATTTTTAGGGCTTTCATTCCAGGGCCCCATTGATTACAGCCCTATTAAGAGGCCGATGCATGCGACTTTAAAGTTATTTTGTTAACTAAGTGTAGGCAATGGATGTGTCATGCTAACAACCATAATTGCTGGTGTGTCTAACACAGTATGTAAGTACAGTAGAGTGAATTTAAAAGGTTGTGGTAATCTAAGAATGTTAAAAGGGGAATGTGTGCCTGAGGGGCGTGGGGGCTGGGGAGAAAAACGACTTACTTGACATTCACTGTCTTCCTCCCAGCTCCTTTTGCTAAAGTAGGAACAGAATCGGAACAAAAAAATGTTTGTTTTACAGCTGTACCAAGTTACGGCGTGGACTCGTGCTCCCCCCCTCCTCTCCCACTTGCATCAAGTACATCC